CCTGGACTGCAAAGAGAACAAATCTATCCATTTTGAAGGAAATCAACCCTGAGTGCTCACTGGAAGCACAGATCCTGAAGCTGAGGCTCCAATACTTTGACCATCTCATGAGAAGACTCCCTGGAAAAGCCCCTGATGTTGGGAAAGTGTGAAGGCAAGAGGAGAAGGGGATGACAGAGGATGAGATGGTTGGACAACGTCATTCAAGCTACCAGCATGGATTTGACCAAACTCCGGGAGGCAGTGGAAGACAGGAGGGCCTGGTGTGCTCTGGTCCATGGGGTCATGAAGAGTCGGACACGACTTACCGACTAAACAACAACATGCAAGCACTTAGAAAACAATGCAATAATAACTAGAAATCAACGCGGATTTGTCAAGAAGAAATCCTGCCAGACTAATCTGATCCCATTTTAGGGTAACCTCCCTAAAAGCACAGCTTTAAGTGCCCATGATATTCTGATTAGCAAGCTAACTAGGTGTGGGCTGGATAGAACAACTGTCAGGTGGATACGCAGTTGGCTACAGAATTGTACTCGGTGATGGTTAATACCTCCTTCTCCAACTGGGAGGAAGTAACAAATCAGGCTCAGTCCTGGGCCAGGTGCTATTCAATCTTTTTTATTAATGACCTGGATCAGAGGGTGCAGGGAATGTTAATCAAATTTGCAGATTACCCTGGAAGACAGAAACAAAATTCAAAATGATCTGGACAGGTTTGAGCATTGGGCTGAAAACAACAGATTAAAATTTAACAAGGATAAGTGAAAACACTGCATCTAGAGAAATCCTACCCCCATTTAAAAGGATAAAAAATTTGAAATACATAGAAAAAATAAACCAAACACAGTTACAATATGAGGGATACCTGGCTCAGCAATATTGCAAATGAGAAGGATCTTGGAGTTGTACATCACAAGATGAATATGAGTACTTTATATCCTATAGAGACCACTACAGTGGGGTCTTGACTTAAGAACGGCTCGAGTTAAGAACATTTTGACTTAAGAACCACTCTCATAGGAAAATATTGACTTGACTTCAGTACTTAGATTTGAGTTAATAACTGAAAAAAAAACCACGTGGGAGGCAGGGAAAGTGCAAAATTTGAACTTTCAGTTAACTGTTGGCCAGTGAAAAGCGTGTCTGTCTGCTTCCTCGCTCCTCCCAGCATTTAGAGAGTGGATTGGGAGACAGTCTTCAGACTGCCTGGTACTGTACTGCCTGGACTGTATTTTCCCTGCCTTCCCTGAACCTTTCTTGACCTAAGAAAAAAAAGAGACAAAATATCCTCCTCTAGTGGTCGAAGGCAGAATAGCAGCTTCCCATTAGTTTCTATGGACGGAAAAGAGCAGATACGGATCAAATGGTTTTCAATGCATTC